CCCCCTACCTGTATGTCTGGATCGGGGCTGCTCCACTACCCCTGCTCCCCCCCACGTGTCTGTATCAATCTTGCTTTACCCGACCCTCCCCAACTATCTGTATCAGGGCCTCTGTCCTGTCCCCATCCATCCCCAACCCAAGTGGATGGATCAGAGTTATGCTGAGCAACGCCCCCACAGCTGGATCAGGCCCACCGGATGCATCCTGCCTGGGGAGGGACCTGGCACTATGGGGCAAAAAGGTTGGTCACCACTTATGTAAGACCATCTTTTTTGCAAAATTCAGGGATATCCACGTTTTGGGGGTCCTCTAGCTTTAAAGTCCCCATCTCTCTTTCTTGTGCCCTTTAGCTTCAAAATACTTGTGGTGTCAGGCCTAGATATTTCACCAATACGTTACTGGATCTTTCTTGGTAGGCTTAGCACTAGGAAGGGATTCTAGGGGCACATCCTCATCTTCTCCCCCCCCAAATTTAAACTCACATTTTGGCCATTCAGTATAGCTGTAGGCTCTCTATATTTTCACTTCAGATCCCTACTCCCAGCACCAGTTTTTCTTATGTGATTGCATTTTATTTAAACCATATTACTCATGCTTTACAATGAAAGAAACCCAAAGGAATTAAGCTAAACCTATTGCTATGGCTGCCTTTGACATCTGTGGTGCTGGTAGCAGTCGTGATAGTTGTAGACTGCTATGGTAATCTTTGAAATGTCAGGAATTCAGAACAGGGGCCTGCTAGAAGGTGTTCTTTCCTCTATATTGTCCACATGAAACAGCAGCAAAATAAAAATAAAAGAATGATTCAGTGATACGAGGGAATGGAGAAGTTTCAGATGGAATTAAAGTAGGCTACTGAAAGTAGGCTCACTTCCCTAGCTTTGAGGAGAGGAGGGAAGAAGTAGGTAAGAGGCAATAAATATTGGAAGAACAAAGGAGTAATAAGGTTCTTGGGGGGGGCGGGTGAGAGATGGAGAGAGAGAGAGAGAGAGAGAGAGAGAGAGAGAGAGATGGGCTGAGGGAGAGCTCAATACAAGTCACAAAGACCAGGAAAGCAATTCCCATATGAATAATCTGATAGTCTTCTACCAAAAATATCTGAACTGGTGTAAGTAGTATTATACTGTGACAGTTGTAAACCTTAAAGCTGATAGGCATCTGGGGAAGAGCCCCACTTTCTGGAGTTAAGTAGTCTTTGGCTCCTGCTCGGTGGATGATGAAGTTTAAAGACAAGATTTTCCAAAGACCAAAATACAGTTCCAAAAATTGAATTGCATTATGCAAGATGGGAACTAAGGCATTTTAGATACACAAAGTTGAGGTAGAGGTAAGGACTGTGAACTCCATAGAGGTAATGGAAAGCAGACTTAAGATGTGAAAAGAAAAAAGTGTATTGCCATGGATAATAATAAAATTATTGCAAAAGACTGAGATGAGAGATACAGTCAGAGACATAGAACAAAGAAGACTTTTACAATATTTTAAATGCTTTTGAAGCATTCCTTAATGATGGTTTAGTCATCTGTTGATTGATAGATGAAGACAGGTGCAATCGAGGAATCAGAGAGTGAGTTGACAAGAGTTTCAGAGTTGAATATCATCCACACAGAAATTATGCCCCTTGTTGAAACTGGCAATGAGATCTCTCAGCGGGAGAAGACAGGATTCACAGAAAGAAAATAAAACATCTGTAAAAAGTACACAGGGTCAGTCTTATGCATGTTAGTGCAAGTTCAACATACCTTTGCTGACTTGAATAGGATGTGCTAAGATTTACACAGTTTTAAGAGAGAGAGGAATCAGTCCCACAGTGTCTTCATTGATGCAGATAGCATTTTGGACAAGATAATCAATTAAGATAGACACCTGTGAACACGAGGAATAGGTACATTGGTTGACCCAAGGAAGAAGCTTGTATACACTGTATCTGGTCTCTTTCAACAGTATGTCTACCCCTGGAAACTTGCCTTTGCTAGAAATGTCCAAGTCAAACCTGGCTGGCTAATATTAGAAAAAACTTTTAAATGTACCCTTCCTAAGTACTTCTACTTAGACCTGACATTGGACTTCCCTTTCAAAACTCATCTTCTGATTACTATTCCTATATCTCAGCTGACTCAATAGATACTGGTACCATAGCATGTGTTTTCTATTTCAGTCAATGTCCAGTTAACAGAAATGTGCTTCATTTTGTTCCAGTTTATGCAGAATGTATCCATCTTCTTCACTGAGAGATGCCTTAAAATAGACATTTGAATAATAGCAATAATTAATACAATATAGTGGCTGTTCTAAGAGAATATCTAATATCTGAAAGTTAAAATACGTCATTTACTCAATTCTAAGTCAACCATGAATTTAAGATGACCCCCCCATAATTAGGTTCTATATATGGAAAATGTATAAATTTGTTATAATTTTCCGGGTATAGAATCTAATTATTGGAAAACTGTCTTAAATTCGTCCACGTCTCATCGCTGCAGCAGGGAAAGCAGTGATTGGGGGGGAGTCAGGTGGCTGGAGAATCATGTGCCTCCTTTGCCCTCTGCACCCGCCCCATTTCTTCCCCCTGCAGCCTTCCTGCCCCCCGTCCCCCACCACTGGCATCCTCTACCCCCAGCTCCCTGAAGTCTCTGTCCCTTCCCCCTGAAGTCTCTGTCCCTTCCCCCTCTGCTCCCCATAGTCTCTGCTCCTTCCCTTCCAGCTCCCTGCAGTCTCTGCCTTTTCCCCTTCCCCCCATTTCTATCAGAAACTGCTCAGGCTCTGCTTCCTCGCTGGAGCACATCACGTGGAAGCACAGCCCTTGCCAGGCCATACAGCAGTATCAGCTCTGTTGACTGACTGGGCAGGGGACGGAGTTTCCTTATACCCATTTCTGGGATTGAATCCAAAGGGTGCAGAGCAGGGTATCCAAAGCTGCAGAGGGCAAGTGCAGAGGGGGCAGGAGGCTGCCATGGGTCTGACTTGCCCTGACCTAGGCTGAGTGCCAGAGACAGAGCCACATCAGCTGCCTGCTCCCCACCACCCCACTTTGTATGTGAATCTAAGGCAAAGGGCTTTTCCCCCCATTCTGATTGGGGGAAAACATCTCATCTTAGATTTGAGATGATAGCTGTGGTAGTCATGTAAAAGATAGCGTGAGCTATCATTGGGGAGTCAGGTTGAATTCCATGTAAATGGTATTGTAGAATATTTTACATGAGTTTCACACGTGGCATGCAATTTACATGCTAGGGGACAAAAGAGTGACATTGTCAGTGGCATTTTGTTTTTGCTTTAGAAAGCTATGAAGACTCCAGTTTACCAGCCATGGATGATAGCATTTTCAGAAAAAGTATATACTTGTTCATTGGTTTTTGAAGATAGGCAGTTTACAATACCTAATCTCATCATCATGGTACTATCCCCTTTGTTCCCTATTTCTCAGTGCTTAAAGTGTTCACCCAGGAAATGGGAAAGCTGAATTCTAGCTCTTCAGCCTGAGGGGTTTTAAATTTACACATCCTACTTGTCAGGTAAATAACTTAACCACAAGCCTGTGAGGTGCGTAGTGGCCTTCTTGTTGGAGTGGGGCCACCAAGAGTTCAAGAGTCATTGGCCGAAAAGACAACAAGGAAGAGGGTGTCTGCCTCTGAAGGTTAGTTGTTAGGGCCCCTCACTAAGAGGCACAATCCTTTATTTTAGTTCAGATTTTCTATTCGGACTCAATATTTGCTTAATGTGAAATGCATAAATAGTACTGGGGTCAAGCAGCAGAACACAGGACTCCCTCCTTTGGGGGAGAAGTGCCATAGACACTAGGCTACATTTGGTGTCTAATGACTTTTGTGGCTTTTGGTGTGTGGTCATTTTGAATCATGTGTAAGAGGCTTGGCACCTAAACTTTAGGTGTAAGTGGTATAAGGAACCATTTTGAATCAGCACCAAACTGTCCTTAATTCCAGTGTTAAATAGAATGTTTTCTATTGATATGG